CTGCCGCCGGGGCTGGTGACGCGGAAACATTTCTCCTTGTGCGCCTTGAGCATGTTGGAGAAGCGGAAGCGCTGGCCGCAGACGTCGCACGGGTACGGCTTCTCCCCCGTGTGCGTCCGCCGGTGACGCTTCATGTTGGGCCGGCTGGTGAAGCTCTTGCCGCAGATCTCGCAGATGAACGGCTTCTCCCCTGGGAACGCAGCGGGAAATCCTCAGGGACACCGGGAATTCCCGGGAAATCCCGCAGAGACACCGGGGATTCCCTCAGAGACACCGGGGATTCCCGGGAAATCCCACAGAGACACCGGGAATTCCCGGGAAATCCCTCAGAGACATCAGAGACACCGGGGAATCCCGGGAAATCCTCATGGACACCGGGGATTCCCGGGAAATCCCACAGGGACACCAGGAAATCCCTCAGGGACACCGGGGATTCCCTCAGAGACACTGGGAATTCCCGGGAAATCCCACAGAGACACCGGGGAATCCCGGGAAATCCCTGATCCATGGGGGATCCTGGGAAATCCCTGATCCATGGGGGATCCCGGGAAATCCCTGATCCCTGGGGAGCTCTGGGAACCCTCTGATCCATGGGGAATCCCGGGGAAGTCCCCTGATCCCCGGGAAACACCACTGCCTTTGGGGATCAGGGGGTGTTTAGGGAATCCTGCCTCCCCTCGGGATTCTCCTGGCTTTTCCCAGGATTCTCCTGGCTTTTCCCAGGATTCTCCTGGCTTTTCCCAGGCTTCTCCTGATTTTTCCCAGGCTTCTCCTGATTTTTCCCAGGCTTCTCCTGATTTTTCCCAGGCTTCTCCTGATTTTTCCCAGGCTTCTCCTGATTTTTCCCAGGCTTCTCCTGGCTTTTCCCAGGATTCTCCTGATTTTTCCCAGGCTTCTCCTGATTTTTCCCAGGATTCTCCTGATTTTTCCCAGGATTCTCCTGGCTTTTCCCAGGATTCTCCTGATTTTTCCCAGGCTTCTCCTGATTTTTCCCAGGATTCTCCTGATTTTTCCCAGGATTCTCCTGGCTTTTCCCAGGATTTGGGACCAGACACCTCCACCCAGGGGCTCCCCCAGACCAGAACAGGAACCAGCTCCCACCTCCCGCCCCGGGGTGGGGAATCCATCCCGATTTTCCCAGCAGAAAGGGGAGGGACGGGAGGCCGGGGCAATCCCCGGGGAATTCCCAGGGGGAATCCCTGGGGAATTCCTCACCGGTGTGAGTTTTCATGTGCTCGTCGAAGTACTGCTTCATGTTGAAGTCCTTCCCGCACCACTGGCACATGAACTGCTTGTGCCCGATGTGGATGCTCATGTGCGAGCGCAGCTGGTACTTGTACTGGAACCGCTCGTCGCAGTTCTGCGGGAAACGCCGGAATTCCGGGGGGAAACGGGAATGGCGGGGGGGA